AAAAAGAGAAGAGATTCATTTTCCTAATTGGGAAATTTTTTTTGGTTTTCTTAATTCATTAATTACACTAACAATTTTAAATCTAATTCTAAACCTATTAAAACATTAATTCTTATCAATTTATTATTAACATTTGTAATTATTGAATTCTAAATTTAAAATGGTAATCTAAATCAATTCAACAATCTAATAATTAACTTCTAACTCTCACCTAAAATCTAAAGAGGTAAAGATTTTAATTAGGAGACTCAATACTATTAAAATTAGGATAAGGTAACTTCTAAATTAAACTTTAGGATAACTTCTAAAACAATCAACTAATTTGCATTATAAAATATTTAAATACATTTTTTTTCCTTTTCTTTTAATAACAACTAAAACAATAATAACAAAGATGAATTTAATCACTTGGGTAACCAGGCTATAACGAGGCTATTTAGTTTAGTCCCCAGGAGGTGAAATAAACCTCACAGCCCTCGTGTGAAACAAAGGTGGTGTTAATCAAACATTAAAATAAAACCTTCCTAAAATTCAATCCTAAAACAATAATATTTGAACTTTAATCAATCTTCCTTTACCCTTCTTAACAAAAAAAAAAATACAAACAATTCTTATTAAATTATCGCTATCTAGGACCTACAAAACCACAACAGCCATTCGGTACAACTTAGATGAGTTTGATAGACAGACGACTATTTACTTTAGGTTAAGTTGTGTTTTTCTGTTTTTTCTTTTTCTGTGCTGTATTGTGACGCTCTGTCATGTGACGCCGTGTGCTGTTTGTTTGCACTTATTGTAGCTTTTCTGTGGTCTTTTTCTGTGACGCTTTTTCTCTGCTCTTTTCCTTTTCTGTCTGTTGTTGTGAGCGTTAGAATAAACCCTTATTGTAGGTTAAGCAACTTTTTCATAACTAATGTGTCTTACTGCAGGTGGCCGTGCTCACACGCGCTAAAAAGGCGGCTAAAATTTAACTAATCAATTATTCATAACTGCTTTAGGTACCTGCTGTCAACTGCTTAGCCCCCAATAACCAGAGCAGGCCAGCTGATTGATCGTGAGCCTTTCTTTTTATTCATTATAACTGAATTGGAATGAATTCTTTAATTATAAACTGTTTAGGATAACCTCTGCAGGAGATGTCTAGATTTTCCATTTTTTATCGTAAGTATTTATAGTAATTATTGTGAAGATCTAAAATAAGGCATTTTTAAAAGATATAGGAATCCAAAGGGAAAAGTAATTAAGTAAACCCTATCGAGGGTTTGCTTTTTTTCATTTGGATATCTTTTGGGAACGTTCACTACGAGGAGTTCCAAATGGAAAAGTAAACCCCTACAGCGGTTTTGCCTTTTTCATTTGGGCATCCTTTTGGAGGATGTACTACGAGGAGCTCGAAGAGCTGAAGATGATCCAAAGATGAATCAAGGGAAGTGGAAGAAAACGACTGAAGAGTGAAGATTAAAATGCCTTATTTTAAGATTTGCGTCGTTCCCGGTTTGTTGTCGGTGGAGCCCCGGCGCACCCTTACTTTTCTGTACTTGTGATGTAATATGTATGACACTTGCCATGGACACTCTTTTTTCGTGGGATTTTATATTCTGTTTGATTTGTTTTGTTTACTTTGCTTTGCGCAGTAGCAACCGGCATGCTTTTTAATTTAGGTTCTTTCTTGCATGTGCTTGTGTGACGTTGGCTCTTTAGGGATGAAAATTTTTATACTCGTAATTATTAAATTAAAAATTTTAAGATTAATTCAACTAGAAACCATACGATTTTAGGGATAGCCGGAATCGTCGGGGGCGCAATGCACGCATTCTCTCTCTATTAGACCAAAACTTCCCCGCCCTGCGGGTAGAGTCCGGATAATCTGGCCTAATGGATGAGTGCCGACTGGGGAAGTTTAGTCAGTTCAAATTATTTTATAAAGCCTTTTTAAAATCCATATATTCTGATTTGGAGACTTTTACCACATAAATTACATTAGTAACTAATTAAAATTAAGATTTAATTGCGTTATGTTTAGGAAGCATTATACCATCATAAAGTTGTGGGATCATTTAGGAATCTTCTCTAGTGGTGCGATCCAAATTTCGTGTCTAAACTACCTCCCATCTTTTTACAGACTGGACCAAGCATGGATTTTACACGATTATGTGGTTTTAAAGCTGGCTTCCTTTGTCAGGCAAGGAACAAGTCCAGGACTGCATTAGTTAGGTCGTAAGATATTAGTGTTGTGTGTACAACAACACACTTTTAATAAGATTTAGGGTCTACAGGTGGGTGGTTCAACAAGCTGTACCTCTAATACACCTTATTGGTGGGTAAGTTCTCCATTCTTTCAGAGACTATAATCCTACCCATCTGCGTCACACCAGATGATTACCTCCTCCTTCTCTCATGCTTGCTTGAGATGCCATGGCCTCTTTCTTTTCTCCAGTTTCTAACTTCTTCGGCCGACCCGAATGTTTGACATGAAACCAGTGCTGATCTGATTGAACCCAATTGGAACTTCTTCCCTTTGATTAGGAAAGCCTTGAATCCCCTTTGGCACTAGACCATTTTGGAGAAGCTACTAACATCCTTAATCGAGAGTTTTTCTAAGTCAAGGCTTAGGATGTATTAACTAGGGGACTGCGCCCATAGGAAACCGATCCGCCACAATCAAATAAACCCCATTTGATCTGCATGTATGATGGGGGAATCTCGTGAACTTTTGGGTGAAAGCCGCTATCCTCCAGTGGCCTAATCGTATCTATAACTCCATCTGCTCTTTATCCATCGGCCTGCTTGGTGCGATTGTAAGGCTTACGACCATTTTTGTCCTACGGGATACGTGGGTGATCGTACTCTTTTGCATTCGAACCCCACGACGAATCCTTTCGGAGACCACATTCGTCTCAAAATATAGCTTATGTATTAATTTGGTTGTGTATCTAATACGACGTGTCCCATTATTGTCCCTTTTGATTATATTCATTATTATTGTTTATTATTTATTATTATTATTTTTATTATTAACTATTATTGTCTTGTTGTGCCATTTTTAGGTCATGATAGTGGGTATGAATGGTCATTTGGAGGAGCTTATGAAGAAGGGGTTGTAATTTGTCACGCTCCCAGAATCATTTTTAAGAATTTATATCAATGCAAAAAAAAAAAGAGAAAAAAATTAAACAGCCTACAATATCTATATTATGGAGAATAAGGATGTCTTTGGACTTTAGTGAATCCTGAAAAAATTATTTCATTGTGTACATCATATGGGATTATGACTATATCATTGATATCTTCTTTCATGATGAGTTTGCATGTTGGCAATCTATACTAAAAAGAATGGCCATTTGACTATGAGTTGGTGCTAGCTACTGTTCACAAGTCAACCTCCTTTTGGGTGACTGTTGCTTTTGTTCATTGACCCTTGAATCAAGTTTCCTTAAAGGAACCTATTAGACACCTTTGAGGTTACCTCTAATAGGAATGTATAGTTGTACATTGTATTAGGTAATCTATGTATTTGAATTTTAATTATTTCTATATATTATCGTCCTACTTGAACTATAAAAATCAGAGAGTTTATAGGGAAAGTTTTTATAAGTTTATGGAATACAAACTTATTATTTCAAGATTTCTAGACTTTCTAGAAATAAAATGAGCCTCTCTCTCTCTCTCTCTCTCTATCTGTTTTTTCTACTTTTCAATAAACAATATTGTGAGTAAGGTCAAGATATCACTTATCAAACAAACTTAGTCAAAGAGCGCGGTTCAGGAAACTAATCGGAATCTCACTCCTTTAGCCTTCTTTTTTTTCCTCCTCTTCACCAAAGGGATTCGAACAACACCCACCCCCGGCCAACGAACTCATGTTATACATGGTTATCAGTGTAGGTAAATACAAATTAATTCTGCATTAAGGAATGAAAAAAAATATATAACACCACTCCTAGTCAAACTTATCAATAGGAATTTGCATGAATCGACTGATAATTGCTTTAAACCAATAGTTTTGACATGTGAACAAAAAATGTTCTCGTTCTACACTAGGTCCCTTTTATGAGAAATCACTCTTCTTAAATTTAAGGCTCTAAACTTTAAAAATTATATTCTAATTATAAACCTGGTTAAATACTGACAATATCATACATAACCACTATAACAAATTTCCTATCTTCTTCAACTGTACTATGTCTACAAATTGTTGTATGAGTTCTCAAATGGCATCTCAACTGTAGTTTGGTACTAGATTTGTGCATGTTCAACAACTTCGTCCATCTCCTCGGCTCCATTTAACACTATCGAGTTGTCTATCCATTTAGCACTTTCAGGGTTAATCCATTCACTAACCTATATGATATAATCTCCAAAAATTTCTTGATTGCGGCACGAAATCGCAGGCAAAGCGAACCGGAAACTTCAATAATTTAAAATCCGGGAGCATCCGATACTTCGATTTCATCGAGCTTATAAACTGAGCACTCGAAATACGAACCGCGAACGAACCAAAACTTCAACTTCAATCCGAGCCCAAATAAGCCAATTCAAGCACCCGAATGCTGTTGAAAGTTCACATCACAAATTTGAGTTTACCAAACGGTCTCCGAATTTTGGACGCAGCTTATAGTCGAATGAACGGCTCAATGACGACAAATCCAACGAGCCCAGATCAGCAAATTTGGCA